TCTTAGAGGGGATGTAGGCCAGATGGTGGATGTATGTCAAATATTATATATAATATACTGGAAAGTCCTGCTTTATGGGCCTGGCTTGATTATTTCTTATATCAAAAACAAAGTCTCACTTGAGACTAGAGAGCTGTCCTACATGTGAACTAGGCCATACACTGTGTGCGAGGGTCCTCTGTTTTAAATATACAATTTGATTGAAGCCGACTGGTCTAACATATTTCTCCGTCCACACAGACCGACACACATTTTAAACTCGATGCACTGATGTCCATGATTCTAGCTCACACTCCTTCTCTAATGATGTGCGTTTGCCAAATCCCATGAATAATTTTTCTGTGCAATTTACATGAAAAGTGCTTTAAATGCTCTTGACAATTGCATCTGCTGTCTTAACAAAGAACATCTCCATATATTCAACATCAAGGTGTCTCTACTTGGTAAAGGATGGTACATCATTATTCAAAATGAAATCAAACTTATTTTGAGTAGTGTAGGTTTCTCCTCCCCCTTGTACATTGCAGATACTGACACTTTTTCCTCGCATAATGGACGTAGCTAATTTGGAGAGGGAGAACGCGAATCACACTGTGAGGCCTTGCCCTGTGATTAGGAAGCATTCCCATCATGATTAATGAGGCTCCAGGACTAATGTCCCCCCCCCCCCGACACCTGAACAGCACCTGGCCATGTGTCACTGTCAGACCACAATCTGGGTCAGAGCACATTACTGTGACCACTACTCACAGTCTGAGCAACACAGATAAAGAACTGTCTACTCCTGTCTGATGCACATCGTCAATGACACGGTGATCCTGGCGATTCAAATGACAACGTTTAAAGATAAATATTGAATCTGATGAATATAACTCCCACTGCTAATCTCTGCTCCCATGCATACACACCTGCTTCCACCCATTCAGCATTATTGTCGGGCTCATGAAAAAGGCATCCCAGCAAGTGGAGAGCTTTGATATCAGCTTCCTGTGTCAGGAAATTGCTCTTGTTACTTCCCGACAACGCTTATCTCTGCCTCTCTGTTGGCTGTACAACAAGCACACACACCAGTCGATTCAAACATCACGTCTAAAAAGTACACAACATGGTCGTTCTTTTTTAAATATGAGCACAGTTGGACACTCGGTCGGCCCACAGCAGCTGAGCTAAACGGTGAAATGATTACAGATGATCTTTGAGGAAACCCCGATCTGAGCCGAGCTGAGCTGAGAGGAAACACAGCCAGCCACGTTCGTATCGAGCTGAGCAGAGCCCGGCTGGAATAAGCGGATCAGAGCAGGGCTGAGTCGAAGAAAATCAGCGCTCAGTTGTGAATGTTTGATTCAGTAATCAGGGTTCTCCTGGAGCTCAAATTATCACTCTGTAATCAGAAGAGCAGTGGTTACTTTCAGCGCGACGGAGCACACAATCCTATTCAGGGATGCTTGGTCAGTCCAAATGTTTATATACACAAGCACCTAGAAGGCCAGGGTAGATTGTGTTTATTTAAATAGGTATACGATGCATTCCCTGATATATGATGAGATCAGAAAGCTTGTGTAGTTGCAATGTTGCATTAAAACGATTATTGAAATGGGAAAAATGTATCTGTTGTTATGAGAACAAATAAAAAGCCAATTAGTGTCTCCCATGGTTGTGTTCATTCCTGGGGAAATCCCTCTTCACTTTCCCACTGATAGGCACATATTAATATTTAATGAATTCTTAACTACATCACTACACTGGGATATAATGAGCTATTATTCAGCTATCCGGCTTATTGCTATACAACAAGGTAAACTCTCTGTTTTTGAGTGTCAGGAAGTAATTATAGGGAGGATTGTTTTTGACGTATAAACAAAACACTGACCTGGAATCCAATATTGTATTATTAATTGGAGCACAGTCAGACTCTCTTTTTATGAGCAAACACAAATCAAAGTGATGGGGGAATACTCTGTCATAACCAAACTGCAGCTTACTTCTTCACTGAAACGCCAGTGATCAGTAACACAGCAGTGGTGGCTGTGATCAGGGGCAGGAATAAGTTAAGACTTATTTTAATAGACCCTTGACAGTATATAATATGGATTCATAATAAACAAATCTCAACTTCCAATATTTCAGGGATTTGTATATATTGGCCGGTGTTGCTTATCCGATATATCGGTTTATATCATGTACCTATCAACCAAAAAGGAACGGGAATTCAATTTTCTATTTCAATTTTTGAATGTAAGAAAATGTTTGCTGCTATCCTATTTTGACAGCTACAGTAATTAAAGTAGATGTATATGACATTTATTGTTACTGTCAAATATTTAACAAAATGATTGAGTGATAACATTTGATGTATTATCACCAAAATGTTTTATTTATATGAAATATCTGCCCATATATCACCCAATTTCAGTCTAGTAACAGACAGAGACAGCTGTACAGATGGAATAGATTAGCATAACAACTTCCTTTTACTAAATATAGCACAACATCCTCAAAAGTGGTGCTCATGCTGTATTTTTCCCTTGTGTATTTGCTCCAATATATTATATATCTCAAATCAAATCATAAAGATCAGTTTCCAACCTAAGGCTTTTGTCCCTGTGTGGTCAGAGTAACAAACAAACCCTTTCATTGGATCATAAAAGTTGAATCTGAGCTTACCTCCTCCCATTGGTGGATGTAACGGATGAGCCTGGACAGCCTCAGCAGTCGCAGCAGACTGAGGATTTTGGTGAAGCGGACAATGCGCAGCGCCCGGGCCGTCTTGTACACCTCCGAGTCCATCCCTCTCTCCACGATGAGGAAGATATAATCCACAGGTATGGACGAGACAAAGTCCACCACAAACCAGCTCTTCAGATACTTCTTCTTGATCTTGTTGGGGTCGAGGATGATCTCGGTGTTGTCCTCGAACACGATGCCGGTCCTGAAATTCAGCACCAGGTCGATGAGGAAGAAGGTGTCAGAAACCACGTTGAAGATGATCCAGGGAGCCGTGGTCTCGTCTTTGAAGAAGGTGATACCCACGGGGATGATGATCAGGTTTCCCACCATGAACAACAGCATGGTGAAGTCCCAGTAGAACCTGTTAGGGTAGAACAGTGGGGAGAAGTGACAAATGGCTGATCTTGTATTGAAATGCCTGTTTTTTAAGTGCACTGTATTCTCCTAATGAGGTAACCTATGCCATCTAACTCAATTCAAGGTCACGCCAAGGACAAGCAGAAGGACAGGAATAGAACAGGAAAGATAAGCCGGGTGCACTTCATCTCAACACAAAGAACAAAAGACACAGACACCCATATCAGTAATGCTCCTGATGGAGGATGCGTCAGCAGTTATTCCAGCACTAATGTTCCATTTCTGATTTATAGTTGTTTGCATTTAGTCCAAAACAACCCCTCTGAAATGCTTAGTCATACTAAATCAATCGACCTGTAGTTAAGAGCTACATTATAAGAGTGACGCCTTTCATTTAAGAGCCGAGACAGTACATCAACAGAGAACCAACCAACAACTATTTTGACAATCGGCCTATCCTTTCTTCTAAATGTAAAACACTAGTTCCTGTAATCTCAATGTGAGTGTTGCTGCATGTTTGTGTTATGTGATCTTAAAATGAATATCTTGGAAATGCTGGCTTAGACAAATAGGAAGATGTCAAATTGAGCCTCAAGAAACTGATTTTTTGTAACACAGCAAACATTAAATCAAGCACATAAATAGCAGATTAATAGTTACAAAAAAGTATCCGATGGATGTTAGTGGGAGCCTACAAAGAAGATTGAGCTGACTGGATAGTGCTGCTGAGTCATGAATGTTGACATAAGTCCCCCAAAAAACACTAACCAACATTATATTATAAAATATTTTAATACAAATTTTGAGCATTCAAACTCAAGGATGTAACTTCTCAGACTTCACATCAAGTTAATCTGTAATAGGAAACTCATTAAACAAAGCCTTTTAGAGGAAATGTGCTCGTTATAATTGTGTGACATTTTAGTTGCCATAATATTTTTTTTTCACAGTGTTTGTCATGGATCAGATTATACCCCTCTTAATGCAAGTTTCAGGTTTTCTCAGATATTCTAAAATGAAGGGATAGATATGGATTTTAATCCCAAAGAAGATTTATGAATACCTGAATACAATGACTATTCTATCATATGTTCTCTCTTATTTTACATAAAGTTAGAGAAGGTAGACAACCGCACAGTTGGCTAATGTCAAACAGGGATCTGTATCTTCTACTGTATGAACACCATTCAATATAAGAGTATGTGTTTAAGAATCTAACTCAATTTGACCCATACCTGAAGTCGCTGTATGGATGGATAATCCAATTACCCGCTGACTTTACGCGCTCTTGCTCCTTCTCCACTGCCTTCTGGCTGCCAAACATGCGCAGGGAGAATTTGTTAACTCCGGGCTGAAGCATGGAGCTAAACTGCCGCTGCATGTAAGTCTGATTCCCCCTGAGGTCTCCATCATCCGGAACTATCTGAGAGCCATCCTCAGCTTTGGAAAATGTGACTGAATTTCTCGACTGCTGACTCGGAGTCTGTCCTTTAGTTGCGGCGTTGGAGAAGGAAACTCTGGAGTCCTTCTTCTCCATCGCTGCTCCGGTCTTGACCTCGGCGACCGGCCCCTGTGTCAGGGACCCCACTGAAGTGATGGAGCCGTCCATACTTGCAAACTGTCCCTTCCCGTCTTCAGCTGACACTACTCCATCTGTTTTCCTCTCCTGCCGGGAGATGAGAGAGGAGAGGCTCCCTGAACTGGCCGGGTCCCTTCTACAGTCTCCGTTTTTGTTGCATATCATAACGAAGGCTCCTTCTCCTGTCACGCCTGCCTCTAGGAGCGCGCCCCCTGCATCAGCATCCCTCCGGCACAGCAGCGCAGAGGTGGTGTTGCCACTGGCACCGACAGGTCCGGAGTCCTCGTCCTCTTGCAGGAGCCACTGCTCATTGTTGTTGGAGTTTTTACGCGCAATGGACGCGGCTCCGCCTCCTGGCGTAAATTTCTTCATCTTGGTTCCTCCACAGCTCCCATGATCCAAACTGTATACCTGAGGCGGTCTGGGCTGCTGGAATTTGGGCTCCTCCTCGCCGTCCTCCGCCTCGTCCATCACAGGCGGAACCAAGAGAAGAGGGACAGACGGAGAGACACTCCCCGTACCTTGAACCTGGCAGACTGGGCGGCGGCGGAGAGAGTGAGTGAGGAGTTCAACAGCAGCCTGTGCTCTCCACACACACCAATTTAGGATAACAGAGCACCGGTGGCGTTGCTATGGCTGCAACTTGGCTGCTGTTAGAAAAATAGTGTGTGTGTAAGAGAGAGAGAGAGAGAGCAAGAGACCACACCTTTAGGTCGTAAACACCTGGTAATATTGAAGAACCTATGTGGACAAAATAACCTGACAGTGTAATTAAGAAAACTCCTATCTAATTAATAATCACAAATATATGCTCACCTGATCTGAGCAAGGATAGGGAGGACAGAGGTGACAGATGAAGGTCATCAGAAACTATCAAGGTCTCCATCTGTTGTCATGCACAGCTGATCCCAGGTAGACCATCTGCCAATCATTTGTAATCCCTGGTCAGGTGATCCATAATAATTGCAGATGTAGGCTTTCCTCTCAGAGAGGCTGTATTTACAGCAGCCTGTTGCTTTTTGTTAACAGTCAGGGGTCAAGGGTTCAAGATTATTGGTCAAATGGCTCCACCTTGTGGAGAAATATACACATTGCACACTATCAAGCCTCCTAAAATGCCAGTCCTCCGATAAACAAATAATACATTCGTAATGACATTAGCCAAGATAATTCTGATTCTAAAAGATAACTATCATTCATACAAGGTCATTTCAATATAAGAGCACGGTTGAGCTCATTTCAATCTTTATTTGTTACATATTTGTGCCCATGAAGCACCAAAAACATTGTTGGAGTGGGGTTCTTACAAATGATGTGCTCTCCATGTTTAATAATACAACCCTCAACGTTTTTGGGGGGGAAATATGTGTGCATTTGTTGAGGCACAAAACAGTCGAGAGAGCTTTTCTCCTTCTCAGATCATAGACAGGCTAAAAGGCATAAAGCATTTGGATGTCAGGCCTGATGACATGCTTTAGATTTATTCTCAAAAACACATTTTCATAGCAGTAACTGTTTGTGTAATAGGTCATTCTTAAGACAATGATAAATCCTACAAACAAATAATGATAAGGCTCTCCTTAAACACAGTGCTTCTTGACCTTAGTCACCATTTGATCTGAGAAAAATGTAAGAAAGTCAACAAACAAGCATGTCAAATGGAATGCCTTTATTCAGTTTCTGTGAGTTGTACAACAGATGGTGTTCCATTTACATGGATTGTACAACAATTCACACAATTCTGGCTAGATCTTTTTCTCTGTGTAACTCTGAAATGGCAATATCCAATCACAACACTAATCCGGTTAAATGGAACATATGGCTTCTGCATAATCTACACAGTGAAGTTAACAGAGACAACAGTCCAACAATCTCACACAATTGTCTCATCTCCGATCTGATCGAGTGAAATAAAAACATCCAATTAAGTGTTTATCTTCTGTACTTAAATCAAACATGAGTGTGTTGTATTCAAGTTGCATTCAACATAAGCAAGTGTTACATCTCTTGCACTTAGTCCTTAAGAATATATGTTTTTACTCTGGATGTGAGATTAGGAACAAAAACACAAGTGACAAAAACTAAAAATGTAAAAAATATGTTAACAGAAAAATAAAAGCTTGATTTTAAAAAGGACAAATGATTTCCCACTTAAAGAACTGTAAATTCCTATGGCAACAAAACCTTAAAGACCTTAAAATCGGAAGAATGTCTGATTTTCCTTTGAAGTGTCACATTTGCACACAAAAGATAAATAGTGGTTGTAAAGGCAAAGTATGAAACTCTGCTTAGGATGATTTAAAACGCACTCTTGTTGTTTTGATAATAAATGGCAGTGCTTAGGATCAAAAAAGTTTTCCTCACAACAGGACTTGTGCTGTTTTATAAAGAAGTGTTCCAAATTGGAGAATATAAAAAGCACAGACCGACAACTGTGAGGCCAGTGAAGGAAGCGTCAGCATTAACAGAAAATAACCACAAAGAGGCATTCTTCACATGAACTGTCTAATGATTTTACAACAAACACACACTTTGCTATACCGGTAATTTACACTCATGCAATATTTGCCCAGCGGCCTCAAGCAGAAAAGACTTCACACTATGTTCTGTGGCTGCACAATGTGGAGAAGAATATAGAAGAAAACTAAAAAGGAAATCAGTCAGTTTCTTAAAACATTAACACCCAAGCACAAAAAGGTTCTTCAAATTGCAGGGTGCACGGTATAATGTGCCACAACAGCTGAGTCCTGGACCGCCGTCTGGATGTCCATCTAGGATAGAGAAAAGTTGCACGATGAAGAATTAAAAAAGGTGTCTCCATTTTGTTTTTAATATACAGAGTGGGGAAGTAATACATGCTTTTTCTAATTATAGTTTAATTTAAGTAATAACTTTTACGCACCTCTTTCAGCTTCTAATTAGAATTCCTTTGTCTAACATTCGTGTCTTTGTGATTTTCAGTAGAGTTGCTCTTCCTGAAAAAAAAATACATAAAGGCAAGCATGAGTTATCGATAAAAGACAAAATCTTGAGAAAATGAAGTTGGTGAGTTGCTAACTGTACTTACAGAGGAGCAGATCCTGAGTCCTCATCTGCACAGCAGTAACCGGTCAATGAAGAAAACAAAAACAAGTCAGTTATCAATAACAGTTTCATGTGTTACTGGTGTGAGCAAGACATGCCTCTCCCCTATCGAAATCAGTCGGAAGTCGCAACGGCTCATTTCAAAATAAACGTGGATTTGCGTAAAAAAACTAGTTTTTCGGGGTTCGGGTGTTTTGTTTGATTTTAAATAAACAAAGTCTTGGCTTTCAGAATATGAAACTTTTATTTCCAAAATCACACGATAAATACATTTTTGAAGCTTGTAAAGGGAAGAAGACAGCTCTCACTCGCCACCCTGCTCTTCCGTAGCGCCGCCGCCCCCCCCTCCCTCCGGCTGAAATTATGAATGTAAGGCGTATAGTAATCATAGATAACACGGCAGGGTCCGTTACAGTTTGTTTTCATCTGATTTCAAATAAACAAAGTCTTGGCTTTCAGAATATTAAACTTGTTTCGGCAAATTTAGATGATAAATACAACTATGAAGCTTGTAACGGCATAATTACAAGCGGAGAACGGAGTAACTTGACGTCACAGCAGGCATAACAACAGCCGGTGTTTCTCGTGAGTGTTTTCCCCGGGAAACAAACATAATACACACACAAACGCAAAAATACACAAACACACACACACACATACACTCACACACTCGCAAGCTTCCCCCAGACCAGTAATCCAAACTAAAATATTTTCCCTCCGGACTATTTTGATCATTTGCTAATAATCAATCAGATCGATGGATTCCAGAGAAGAGGAAACTTTGAAGGCCTTTTTCTCAAAATGATGACTCGGTGACAGTCATTATAGAATGTGACATATTTTGCTTAATATTTGGAGTATAACAACAATCCTGATATCATTAGAAAGCTAGGAATCTCCTCTTTCCAACAGTGTATACAACTCAAAATGTGTCTTCGGGTCAATGCGACTGATTTCGATAGAGCAGGTCACAGATGATAGTAGCAAATGTTAAAACTACATTCCCTGGTTGTGTTAATATAAAGAACACATTACTAAATGTCACCCAAAGGACTGCCGTATGTCTCTTTATTGGCTTTATAATATTTAAACTCCCATGAATCAAAATGTGTGTACATTGTGCAGAGTCGTCCCTAGCATCACAGAGGCTCATGCAATACAAGCAAAAGACACAAGAGGAACACTGCATTGGCTGTATTCATATGAAAGCAGTTAACACTTTGAAAACTGACATAGCTAACACACAACCTGGCGTGTACCAGAGCAAGAGTACATATTGACAAAGAAACCCCATTTCTGTGGCCAATGAGAATGAGACGTATGTAAATGAAGTACCGACCTTGAGGAGAGCCTATTCTTTTTCATGCATAAAGTACAAGATGCGGAGGGCATGCAGACAGAATGCTTGAACCTCTAAATTCTCAACGTGTTCATGTCAAACCATTACACTAGCTTATGTGTCTCATTTGACTCTTTCATTGGCTCAAACACATGGTTTTAAAAAGGGTCAATAGAGAGTGGAAGGAAAATGTTTGAAGCTCGCTCTGATTGCAGGGCCAGTGAAAGAGTGACCAAATCTTTGAGCACATCACATTCCTCTTAGAAGTGGTGACTATGAAAAGCAGATCATTCAGACTCCCATTGCTTTTTGTTTCCACGCGGTCATCTCAGCTCAACCACTTCAGTCTGACATGCAGTTTTGTCCACTTACCAAAATGCAAAATCAGCAGCGAACAGAGAAGTAAAAATGTAAATAATAAAAATAATAGTTTCTATCACAGATCGTTTACACAAAAAGGGGGAATCTAACATCTGGTCATAATTAAAAAAAAATACAAATAATAGACAATAAGGGTTCATAATAAATGCATGCAACTACAGCCTTTGTATCTCTGACTTAAAGAAAAACGCTTTGCCCCAACGGTCTCTGAACTCCACTGGGGGGCACTCAATCTTTCCTACTCATAGTCAAATAAACAATGCCTACAGTTTGATGCCCTTTTCTCCTGTTGAAAGTTGAAGGACTTTTAAGAGGCTACTTTAAATTCCTTTAGTCACGCATCAAGAGAAGTTGAGCACAAGTAGGAAATTACCGTCTACTGGTGGTTATTTTTACCACAGCCAATTTGAAACCTATCTTTTCATGATATATGGGTATTTTTCAAAACCTGTGTCATTATTTCACACCAAAAACTGGTGGAGTTGTGTAGGCTTCAGACGTCAGTTAGAAGATTAAAGAGGACCTAGGACTAAAGAAGCATCGATTGCAATTTTCTTAGCCGATTTATCGGACTTTATGACAGCATACATTGTCGTAGACACAATGTTTCTTAAAAGTGAATAAGAAGGCTAATGTCTGTCTCAACAATGTTTACGGTTTGATGTAG